AGAAAACTGAAAAGAAAAAGGAACTTTTCATCTAGTGTGGGAATCAATTAGAAAAAATTCCCTAAAAATAGATCCCACAACCTACATGATATTACCATCAGTAGATATCATTCTGATATTATTATTCAATATCACATATGTCCCTTATTTCTCCCAGCAGAGAACCAGAAAACCTGTTCTCTGAACTGGATTGACCTGGAATGCTGTACTGGAAGAAACCAGCCTTCCTGAAGAGTGGCAGCTAGGAAAGTCTTGGGAGCAGGGCTGAGGGAGGTCACCTTGCTTGGGCTGCCTTTGCATTACAGAACACTCAGTAAACCAGGTAAGCTACAGAACAAGAGGAGCATTGATACATGTTTGGGGGCCTTGTGCAGGATGAAGATACAGTCAGCTATTAAACATTTATAACTAGCATTAATAAGCCATTAAAAGGATAGGAAACCCTGCATTGCTGTTCTACTCCTTTAGAGCTATTATTTTGTGAAATCTCAACAGATTTGGGTTGGGAATATGCGCTTGTTAACTTTACATTCATCACAGGCATGACATAGATAGTCCTAATACCAATGGCAATTTGCCCCACAGAGCCCCCACACTACATTACTTGTCAGCTGCTTTTTGGAAGCAGTTTGGCAGCCTGCATGCCCATGGCAAACAAGATGAACAGTTGATCAGTGGGTTGTCCAAAAAGGCAATGTAAAAACAAAGTAGTTTAAAATAGGTTTAGCACCACTATGTCCAGAGTCACACATCACACACAAATCTCCTTGTCAGCTGGAAACACGGACAGAATAAACTCATGACTTTCTGGCAGAGACTATGTAGACATTCTGGTTTTCCCAACCTCCCTTTCCCCTTGATAAGCAATGTATTATCTCATTGGAAATGTAAGGCATACTGAGACACATATCCTCAATACCCATGTGGGTGAAGAGGTAAAGTTTTACACATGCTCCTGAAAAGTGTGCTGTTGAGGATTTGGAGAGTAAATAAGATGTCCAGTATTCTTCTTGGTTTTGAAAAGCACTATTTTCTCTGCATATTTCCAAACCCAGTGATCTAAATCTGTAGAGGCATGTACTGCTTGCACAGAAGGAGAGATGCTTGGCTCTTACACACAGGACAAGTCATATAATCAAAATCAGCCTTTGCATACATACCAAGCTTTGGTATTCTTCTGAGAATTTCATGTTATAATACATTTGACCTCAGTAAGTATTAAAAATCTGCCTGAGTATCACTTGCCATATTCTGAGCAAATCTCCACAACAGCCTCCCTGCACTGGTAGCAAGAAGAGACCTGAATTAACTGACAGCCTTAGAGTGTTTGTTGGTACCATAGAAACCTCTGGACAGTCATTTACAGTGCCACTACAATTATTTCATAATGCTAACAAAGTCATGAATTTGATATGAAATTGCATTTAAATTAAAATAATTCTCTTTCAGTTCAGCTCTCATGTAAGAAGTACCTGAGCCTCTTGATTCAATCACCTCACTATGTCAGATTGCCTACAGCCCATGATCAAACTGCTCTAATTCCCTTTTTTAAAGGTCATGTAAACATGTGCACTTTGTGAATTAGATGCAAATTCAATTCCCTATTCAAAAAGCTTCCTAGTTAAGTTCCTTACCTATCCCTCAAATGCAAGCCAGCATCTGACCATAGAATATTGACTTTTGAACTGTGGTCAAAGACATGATTAAACAAAGAAATATCTGCCCGCTGCTATGTAGAGAATACAGATAAAGGGAAGTGAAGCTACTTTTTTTCTGAATGGTCCTAATTATGTAGGTCAACTAACTCACTTTTTAATATGGCTGTTCCATGATTTTACTTGGTGTTTTTCATACTGTGTTTTTATGGGGATGGTATCTGCTGAAGAACAATATGTAGATATCGAGGTACCCATGGATGGGTGTTATTGAAGATGTTACTGTAATTAAGGACTGCTTGAGTGTGCTCTCTAACAAGGTGTGCTAAAAAAAAAAAAAGAAATAATGAATGCCAGTTTTAAGCCATCTCCATCAAAGACTGAATGAAACACACTGAACAGTTCACTATTTCAATAATAATAACAGAGCAAGTATTTCTGATCCCGGCATTTCAGTTCACCTGTGAATAATAATTTCAGTAATGTTTTTCATAATTCTGAAAATAAAGTTATTACATTTATGGTCTTGTTAGATCTTTCTTTATAAGTAGTGACTTATCTGTGTACAGTTATTCTGACCCTTATTACCTTAGTTCACCCAATAGGTCTGTGCAGAACAGTACCTTATCTCTGACTGGGGCTGATGATGGAAAAAAAGTCAGCAGAGTGTCAGCTTTCCTCAGGAATCTACTTGTAGTGTCCTGGAAATATCTAATCTGAAATATTCCTGAACTCACTGTTTAGAACATTTCTTCTGTGCCAGACCTGAAATCTGAGGATGGCAAGACCCAGAAGGTCATCAGGTTTTTGTAACAGTTAGATTTTGCAGCCAATGAAATCTCAACTTCTGGTTTGCCTCTATTTCAACCTCTAGGTTGCAGATTTTCAAAGACCAGGAGAACAAAAACATCTTTCAAGAATGTGAAAATCTGAGATGAAAACACACACACACACAAACAAACAAACTAACTACAAAGGAACAAGTCACCCACATCTGTTGTCATGCTTGGTAAACCACAAGATACAAGAAAAGCTGTGGCATTGTCTAGGGCAGACAGTTATTCAGGGTACTTTGATGTTTACCACAGGCAGTGCTTTTTCCAGGTGCATCACCCTACAGACAAACCCTGCTGGGGGAAGATCCACAGTTGTTGTTGGGCCTCAGGACTTCTCTAGCTGCATGAAGTTACAGCACTGTCAGAATGGAGAAAAGAAGTTTCTTGTGCTTTGCTGAGTGCCATGACAGGTTGTAACAATGAGCAAAAATTAGACAGCAAAACATTTCTAGGGGGCTGATAAAGAACCAGCATACATGTAAATTCATCATTCTTATCAATAAACCACTCCCTGCATACTCCCTGGTATGCTAACCAAGGATAAGGAATACAGCTTCTTCATGGGCTCACTGTGAGATGAACCAGCACTCCCACCCTTAGGTCAGAGCAAGAGCTGAGTTTTAGCCACTCATCTGCCTTGAGGTCCCACTGTGGTCTTAATACCTACATTTCTTCCTTTCAGAAATAAATGAATGACAATATTGGCCAGCAGATTTCTTAAAAAAATAAAACTAAATAGTAACTGGAATAAAATATTAGAGGGAATTAAACCTAACAATTAGTGCATCTGAATAGTTAATATCTTCTGCTAAAATCAAGTATTTCAAACCTTGTTCTTACTTGAAAAGTTTAAAAAAATTAGTCTCCAAAAGTCTCTGGACCACTAGATTTAATTTTTTTTACCAAGTCTTGGGAAAAAAAGGATAATCCAAGGAATTGTTGACTTGCCAAAGCAATCATAGCATTTAAAGCAAATGGCCCAGGAATGACATATCAGTTATTCTGATTCTAATCTTAGAGAAAAAAAAATAGAATGCTGGACAAAGACAGCACTCTACCAACAGGGAATTATGAGCTAAAAATAAAGCTATATCATTCAACGTAGTTTCAGAGAAAATAGTTCTTGTCAAATTATCTTATTTGGATTTTTCTTTTATAAGATTATAGGTCTGGTTGACAAAGGTAGCTGTGTTGTTACAGTCTAATCTAATTTCACTGAAGCATTTGACATACTACACATGACATTGTGTTTTAAAATCCTGCATTATATGTAATTAATAGAGCACAGATTAAATGATTTAAAAGCCACTTGACTGATAGCACTCAAAATGTATGCATTAATGGAAAGGAATTAATTATCTGGGTCATTACTAATAAGACACTGCAGGGCTCTTGGTCCTAAACCATTTTAACCTTTATTTGAAAATAATATGAATTCTGGACGCAGTATAAAGGGGACAAAACATTAATGCCATGAAAAGCAATCAGGAGTCAGCTGTCAGAGTGTGCTGAATCTCCTGGATAAGTGGCCTGAGTTCAGTGCATGTTTGAACATGCTGAAGTGCTGTGAAGGGAGCAAAAGTGTGTTGTAGAGTGAAGTTGCCAGACCATGCCCCCAGGGAGAAGAATCTGTGCATCTTTGGAAGAATGAAAAACTCATCCAAAATGGATGCAGAGGAGAAACCCAATGTTTGACATTAGGCAAAGTTTTAACGGGGAGCCAAAGTGGTGCCAGAGTAAGCCCTGGAGAAGTGAGTGAAGAGGAATAGAGTTGAGGAGATTATTTGTATCCTATAGGATATTGTATAGGGATTTTTATCCTATAGGATATCCTACAGGGAGATTTGAGAGGCTAGAGCAGCTGTGGGGAGAGGCAGAGAGGGTGCAGTGAGATAGGGAGGTGGGCACTCCTGAAATGTGGCTCCTGGTGTTGTCCCCCTGCTTTTCATAACCTCAAGCCCATTTCCCATCCTGCAAGCATCTGACCATGGCTACTGACATCCAGCACCTTTCCCATAGCCACACTCAGCTCCTCATCCTGCAGCAGCTGGACCAGACTAGAGGGCTGGCAGTCACCACTCGGCCATCAGCTTTTCCCTCTCTAAGGACCCGCTAGGGGAAATAAATAATATGGGCCCTGTGGCTAGAGATTAAATGGTACTTGTGGTCATTTCTGGCTTCAGAATCCATGAATCACCCCTTACTGCCTGGGTGGGTTTTCCTCCTTGGTCAAAGGTCTACCAGAAAAAAAAAGAGAGCTGATTTCTAATCTCTTAGCACAAATCAAATGGCCTTGTAGGTCTGATAATCTCAGTCTGGTTAACTTTGTGTTTCTTTGCCTGTTCAAATGTCATTTGGTGTTTCCCAGAGAAAAAGGACTGGAATCAGTAAAATTATATAGGAACATGTTGCAAATGTGCATTCCACGTGTTCTTTTTTTCTAGCTATTTATAATGACCAGTGTCTCTGTGTTTAAACTCTCTACAACATTGAAAGTAATGATAGTATTGTATATTTCACTTTGATAGTACATACACAAAAGTTAGAATAATACAGAGATCAGCATGGATTCTTAGCAAGGATGACATGCAGATTCATGAAGAGTAACTAAATTTTTTTGAGCCAACAATATGCCCAGCAGGACTGGAAAGTGATTCTCCCTCTCTACTGGGCAGTGGTGAGGCCACACCTTGAGTCCTGTGCCCAGTTTTGGGCCACTCACTGCAAGAAGAACATTGAGATGCTGGAACAAGACCAGGAAGGGCAACAGAGCTGGTGAAGTCCCTGGAGCACAAGTCCAATGAGGAGCAGCTGAGGGAGCTGGCAGTCTTTGTCCTGGAGAAAAGGAGACTCTTATCTCTCTCTACAACTCCCTGAAAGGAGGCTGTAGCCAGGTGGGGGTTGGTCTTTTCTCCCAGGAAGCCACTGAAGACAAGAGGACATGGCCTCAAGCTGCACCGGGAAGGTTCAGGCTGGACATCACAAAGAACATCTTCACTGACAAGGCTTGCCCAGGGAAGTGGTGGTGTCACCATCCCTGCAAGTGCTCAGGGAAAGGATTGATGTGGCACTTAGTGCTGTGGTGACCAGTCAAAGGTGGGACTTGATGATTCTGGATGTCTTTTCCAACCTTAATGATTCTATGATTTTATGATCTACTTAGTTTAGGACTCTATATCTCAGGAAGAATTCTAGGTTAGTATATTATTTTTAAACATTAAAGTATTTTTTCAACAGCTAATATTGAAAAATCCCACCCCAAAAGCCTTTATGGAGTTTCATTTAGTGCATAGACCAATTAGTTAATTGCTCCATGCTAAAGCAAATCCTCAGCACTTTAGTTTTCAAAATCTGAACTTCTACATAGTTTTATTAATAACCAGTACCTTTATAATGGGCCAAATTAAGCCAAAATCCTTTGTGCAAAGGGGCATAATGTTTGGATTTGAAAAATCCATGTGAGACTTTAATTTGTTGGTTAGAACCCAATACTAATTAAAATTAGACAAAATCCAACAGACCTTTGATAATCACATCAAAAGTTCGCATTCATTTGATGTGGATTGTCTATATTTCATTGTTATTCTCTTAAAAGATTATTTATGTACAAAGAGTTAGAAAATAATATTAATATTTAAAAAGTGGAACTATAAGGGCAAACACCGATTCAGCATATAATTTAATTTAATAAATGTTTGCTTTATTCTGCTCAAAACCATGACTTGTGACATTATTTTTTGCATACAGAGTGATCTACAAAGATTCTTAGTAAAATATATTTCTAGTGGAACAAGAAGTTTTGCTTGTTTCACTTGGGGACTGGATTCAACAGCATTTGCTTAACAAGCTGGGCATTAAGGAACCACATCAGTCATATTTTCATTCCAAATTTGCCACTGGTTTACTGAGCAAAGTTCCTCAGAGGAAAAAAATCTGATTTCATAAAAGATCACACACACCAGTCCTAACAGTCTAAGATGCTGTACTGAAAGTTGTCTGGAAATTTGGCATATTTTATGCAACTAAGAGCAAAGTACTTTCTTCACAGCTGAGTACATGGAAGGCACAGCAGCATTATAAAAGAGGGAGATTACCTAAGATGTCTAGAAATGGAGAACGTATGAACTTAGTTAGAACACTCTGGTATTTACTTTTCCTTTCTAGAGAGAGATATACAGTACTTCATGATTTCAGTGTGCAAGGCAGCAAAGCTTCTGAGCAGTTCAGCAAAAATCCTCTGCTGACTGGAGGCTGGGAAAAATAAAAATGAAAGGATGTGAATAAAAATCATGTCTGAGAGTCAAATAGGAAGCAGAGTGCCGCTACTTTTCATTCCATCATGCAGAGAGAGTTTATTGCATTTTAAAGGTATCTAGATTAAAAAAAAAAAATACAACTCAACAAAACTAACCCCAAACCACTCCAATGTTATAAAGCTACAATTATTTAGGAAGCGTTTAAATGGTAGCTGGCTGTGTAGCCTTACTGCAGATTCAGAGAACACAGCAGAGACACTTTGTTTCATCCATTCTTATTCCTCTACTCTGCTCTCATGAGACCCCATCTGGAGTACCTCCAGACCTGGGACCCCACAAAGGAAGGACATGGACCTGCTGGAGCACGTCCAGAGGAGGCCACAAAGGTAATCACAGGGTTGGAGCACATCCTATGGTGCCAGGTTGTGAGATTTGAGGTTGCTCAGCCTGGAGAAGAGAAGGCTCTAGGGAGACCTTGCAGCAGATTTCCAGTACCTAAGGGGGCTGTAGGAGGTCTGGAGAGGGACTTCTGACAAGGACATGTGGTGACAAGGGGTAATGGATGGCTTTAAACATAAAGAGCATAGGTTTAGATTGGACATAAGGAAGAAATCTGCAAGGGTGGTGAGACATTGGAACAAGTTACCCAGAGAAACTATGGATGTCCCATCCTTGGAAGTGTTCAAGCCCCAGGATGGGGCTCTGGGCATCCTGGCCTAGTGAAATGTGTCCCTGCCCATGGTTGGAAGACTTGGCCTAAATGATCCCTAAAGTCCCTTCCAACACAAACCATTCTGTGATTCTATTATATATAGGTAACAATGGACTTTTTACATAATCTTGGGTTCAAGGTCCCAGTTTTTCTTTCTTACATATTTGAATCTCTTACTATATTCAGTTATTTTATTTATCTTAATGGTACTCCTTAAATATTATTCCGCATAAGTGAAGTAGCATATTATTTTTGCTCTTCTTCTTCGAAGTCTGATGATAGCATTGAGAGACATTTATTGAAATGCACATTGACACCTTGTTTTTGCATAATAAATTATCATTAAAGATTCTTAGTTTAATTAAGTAATACATTTAGTTTGCTGGCTGATCATTTATCATCTGTAATAGCTCAGTTCAACTTAGGGGTCCCATCAGTTCTTCTTGTGGCTATGTATGTTGAGCCCACACACAAAAGGAATAACCCAGGATTATCCTGTGAGTCAGGTAGTAAGAAATGCAAAACTGCTGACTGACCATCCTTGCAAAATATGATGTATGCAACTAAGCAATACAAAAAAGTTCTGTGTATTTTCTACATTGCAAACTCTTGTCCACCCAAGCTAACACAGGTGCAAGAACCAGTCCAGCTGTAGAAGCTTCAGGTAGGTCTGAGCTTAACTTTGAAGAATGAATTCCCTTGTGTTGCTGCAGAATTGTTCCTGGTGCCTGAACTGCTCAGTTATCTCTGCAGTATACACTTACCCACAGCAAACATACCCACAGTGTTATAGACTGCAATAGAACCTGTCTTGGTTTTACTTGGGCAACCATTGTTTTGTTTTTAATCCCACAGTGTTTTTGTTTTGATCACACACCTTGAACTTCTGCAACGATAGGGGAAGAGGTCTATAAAACATTGTTTACAACACAGCTCCATTCAATATACCTGAGTCCTAGGCTCAGGCCTTGTTATGAGTGAGGTAAGAGCACTGGTGGGGGAAAAAATATTGAATGTATACAGGTAATTAGAGCCTGCATCATTGCTTACACAAAGGGCTGGTGGAGGTAGGAATGCAGGCTAATGTTCTTTTAATGTGTTGCCTTCAAATGTAGTGCCTTGGAGGGTTATGTGTGTCTATATAAATAAAGCAAAAGCCAGAAATGCCAAAGTATAAATGGACAATACTGAACTCCTCAAGAAGGCAAAAGGCAGTCAGTATAGTTTTTTCTCACTATGTGTGATTCTCAGGAGCCACAGCAGATTTCAGCAGGGGAAACCTACCAGAGAAATCCTCTTGGCTGCAGATTACAAGATCTTTAAGGACCTCTCTAGGAGTAGAGAAGGGTTATTAAAAAGAGATTACTTCCAGGCTGTGACAAACTTCTTGGCACAAGCTAAAGGTGACTTTTCAGATGTTTACAACTAGTTTGATAAGATTTTCAGAAGGATATCTTTAAGCACCTCTTCAGCATTGAGGCTAAGCTTTTCTCAAACTGCAGGTTCTTCAGACAGACTTTGAATCTGCCAAAACGTAAAAAGTAGCTGGTAGTTTACACTCTAATAATCAACATAACAATATAACCTGTTAATCATAGTCCCAAAGATGGCTGAAATTTTCCAGGAAAAAAACTTCATATGCATACCAGACATCTGAAACAAACTCTACCTTAAAAGCTACAAAGCTAGGTGAAAGCAAGTGCCTTGTCATTAGAATGGCTTTGGTACAACACAGCAAAATAATCTTATTGGAAAGTCAGTTCAGTGGAAATGTATTTTTTCTTAGTACAAATCAACAATTATGATGACAATCTACTCAGGAAAATGTCAGATCTCAGGATAGTTAACTAATCAGTATATGTCTTTGAAAGAAAAGGAAAAAAATTAATTCCCTCTTCTTCAAGTGAGCCATAGATATACAAGTCTGACATTTTCTTTGGGTAAAGTTTTGTGTAGAGGGGTTTGCAATTATGTTTTTAAATCTAAATTTCATTTCAATGTGTAAAGGAGTATTTAAAGGGCAATTTTAAATAATCAGGAAGATCAGTGCCTAGCCTTTTGAACTGGAAAGTATTTAAAAACTAATTACTGACAATTCTGCTCAAGCAAGTTCATGTAAACTCACTTGTTTATTGCTACACAAAAGAGAATTGATGAACAACATGGATGAAAAATACAGTTCTCAATAAAATAAAAATGAAGGAAGGTATTAATATTTCCCTCAAATATGTATATTTTCTTTGATATTAGTGTGATTTCCATTTGTGCTTGATAAAAAGATCAACATTAGAGTTCTGAGGGTTAATGTTAACATGTCTTCTCTTTTTACATGCACAAATAACTGGGAACAGTTTGCAGAGTATGTTATTTGATAACAAATATACATTTAACTATCAGATTAACAGGTACATTAATGTATGTAGATGTTGACATATCCACATTTGCACCCATAATTACTTGCAGATGTGGACTATGGGCACAAAAATGGCCATATGTTAGATACTACTCTTCAAGTCTACAGCATATTTTTATTCTGGCATGAGATTTTTTTAAAATACTCCGATTCCAGTAAGGTTTGTGCCCCTAACTCAGGAAAGTGCTTTTTGGTATTTCACCTTGAAAGCACACTTGGAGTTGTCACTTTTCAA